AACATCTCCCAAAGCTTCCTGTGCAAAATTGCTGATTCCCACTGTTCCAACTTCATTTTCTGTTGTTATCCATTCATGTTTGTCTGTGAATTTAGGCACTGAGAGCAGAGCAGGTCCTGTGTACAGCATCCAGAGGGTGCCCACTGTCAGCCGCCAGGGCCACCAGTGGGCAGGGTGCAGCAGGCACCAAGGCCGCACACAAGATGCAGATGGAGACTCTCATGCTCCACACCATTCACAGCACCGTGTTCTCAGGGGAGTGGGGGGTCACTACACTGCAGTGCACCTGGGCCACACAGGCTGGCGGGGGCCTGTTGCTATGTCTTCAATTTCACTAAACTTTTATTCAGCAATGCCTAATCTGCTATTAATCCCATTCAACGGATTTTTCATTTCAAACACTGGCATTTTCATCTCTAGAATTTCAATTTAGGTCATTTTTAACTTTTATGTCTGTCCTTAACATGCTCATGCCTTGGTAAACATAATGGAGTATATTTATAATAGCCATTTCAGCATCCTTGTCTTCTAGTCTATATCTGTGTAGTATCCTTTTCTGCATGTGCTGATTAGTGTTCAGATGAGAAGAGCCTTTAAATAACTGTGTAGCTGTCTGTGCAGCTCCCTCCTGTTATTCCAGCTGTCTTGGCCTACCTAAACTATGTACTCTCTCTCTCCAACTCAGAGGGACTGCTGGGCTCTGCCTAGGCTTCCCCTCATTGTGCTGCAAACTGGGAGTATCTTCCAGCTATAAGCTGCGGCCATCAGGGGGTTCACCTCATTTCTTTCTCCTCACTCAAGGATCACTGCCCTGCAATGCCTGCTGTCCAGTGTCTGCAAACAGCTGTTTCATATAACATGCTATGGACTAGTAAAAGATTTTGGGAAAACAATTGGAACACATTTCCAAAGTAAAGTCTGAGTAGCTAGACTGGAAAAAGGGAATTCATTTGGCTTTACCTCCCTGGGCACCTATGTCCAGAGCATTCTGTAGATGCCAGGCCAAGGGTGCATTCCTATTGCAGAAGGCTACAGGGATATAACCCCCTTTGTCTCCATGAGAAGAGTCAGCCCTGATATCCCAAACATTGACTACCAGAAATCTAACTTTTCTTTTCAGCCACAGACCCAGGAATGTGAGTAATTTTTGTCCAGGATGGTAGCCAGGATGGGCTCCCAGCAAAGGGCACTGACAACCAATGTTTATGTCCTGGATTCAGTACAAATTAGCTATGGGATCTTGGGTACATTACCTAATCTCTCTGATTCTCTTCGTTCTCATTTGTTAGATAGACATGATATGGTTGTGAGACTTAAATGTTCCCTCCCGCCCCCACCCAAAAGCCCTAGAACACTATCTGGCACATAAGTCACTCAACAAATGTCAGCTAGTATGTATAATTGCATTTACCTTTTATATTGCTACTATTCTTTCCTACATAAGACCCTCCTTGACCCAGAAGAGGATCAGATATCTCAGGAAAGTCTATGGCCCTTTCTCCAAGGGATTTTCCATCTGTATCAAAGAGGATGTGCAGCTCATGATTCTCCTGGAACATAGCACCAATGTCCACCATGCAAATACAGGGACTGCTAAGGTCACATCACCCTATCACCCTGTGAGGGACCAGCTGCCAGGCGAGAGCACCACGCTGGGCATAAAGAGTCCTAATTCATTAACTCATTATGAGACCACTAACTCATTGTGAGACCTTAGGTAAGTTACACCCTCTCTCCAGGCCATCATCCCTCCATCTATATAATTGTAGGAGGTATAGACTCATTCTTCATAGGCATATCCTGGTAAAATTCCTAAACTTAGTTAACGAAACCTTACAAGCTTATAGACAGAATAATTTACTTACAAAGGAAAACGAATCAGACTGGCATCAACCTGGAAATGGAATGGTACTGATAGACCAGAGAGAGTAAAGACATACAACTCCATAATTTTATCTCCAGTCCAAGTATAAGTCACTATCAGGGTGAATAATATTTGCAGATTTAGAAATATTTAGGGACCTTATCACCCATGTATCCCTTCACCAGCAGAAAATACTGCAGAAGAGAGTTGAGGCACCAAATTAGTAAATAATTGGTACATACTTAAAAGCAGGAGATACAGAAAGGTTGAAAACAAAAAGATAAAGAAACAAGGAAATGCAAACAGATGAGGTGGAATTGAGGCTAAATGAAACACATAAAGGAAAGAAGAGATATTTTTAAATGTTAAAGAGAATAAGTAATAACCATAAAGCTACATACACCAAAAACCACAGTAGCTAAATAGATAAAACAAGAGCACTTAGAAATGCAAGGAGACCTGCTAAAAATACAGTTATAGTGGGAAATTTTAATATACCTTTTTCAGAACCAAATAAGCATCAAATAGAAAAAAA